GATTTAGATAGCTAGCTAAGAAAATAAATATAAATTTTTTTTAATAGAAATAAAATTTTAAGGCTACCATTAAATGTATAGAAATTCAATGAGAAAAATCAGTTTGAAAAAATTTGTTCTTTTTTCCAAAATTTAATTTTTTATCTCAAATAATTTCGCTTTGGAATAAAATAATTTTTCCTACTTTTATATTCATGCCCCATTTTTCGTATGGAAAATGCTGACATTCCGATTTTTGACGATTCCTAATTCTATAGTACATGGAAAGCTGTAAATTATACAGCAAATGCAATTTATTTATTTTGTTTTTTGAAAGAAATTTTTAAATATTCTGGAATAATTTTTTGTTTTCTTCTGCAAATCATGACCATGATTTTTTCTGCAAATTCCGCATGACTTTCAATAAAACTGATCAAAATTGTGATAAAATGGTCTAACCTTTGTCAACTGCATTTTATCACCGTGTTATAATTTTTCTAGTTCAATGTCAATCAATCAATTCTTTTGAATTATTGAGTGGGTTTCAGACAGAGTGGTTTCATATTATTACTGGCAGAACTATGAGAGATAGAGAAAAATGTTATATTTTTCATTGTAGCGTATTGAACGAAAATAAAACAAATTTCAAGTTTAAAAAAAGGCTATTAAAAAAAATTTGATTTTAACAAGCTTTATATCAAAAAATATGACTCAAATCAAATTGATTGTAAGACCGAAAATAAAGAACAATCAATTGGTTGTGAAACCAGCTCTCGATAGTAACTCTATGTTGCGTGGTTCCGAATTTTTTAGCATTTATCAGGAAAAATTTGGTACCTCCTTTTTTCAACAAGCTTTATTCCGAAATTAAAATATTTCTATTTTTTGTTTTATTTATCTATTTATGCTTAGAATTTCCGATGAAATTCCATATTTAATTTTTGAATTGAAATTCCATTATTTGTCAATCGTCTACCACAATTCAAATTCATATGGATTTTAAATATTAGGAAAATTATTATTTGAAAAACAAAAAAAAATTTAAGGTACACAAAATTTTAGTACTCTTTTCTTTACTTCACATAAGTTTTAAGTACGTAACTATAATTATTTTTGTTGTTATTTGTTTATTTTTCAATTCCAACTTAAGTAAATAATTTTTAAAAAAATTTTTCTTTTAATTTTTTACATTTTAAAATCTCTTAGTATTTTACTTTGAAAGAAATCCAACAATTTAAGAAATATTCAAATAACTTTGTGGGATTCCAAGATTTTCAAGAGTTTTGAGTTCATATATTTAAGAAACCAAAGACAAACCAAAAAAAAAATTAACATAAAAAAGAATAATTCAAAACTAGACCTAGAGAGGATGCTGTGTATAACGACAATATTCAAAAAACTTAAGAGAGAAACTTTAAAAACGTTATATGAAAAATATTTGAATGTGTTTTAAGAAATGAACGTGATGCTTTAACATTTTTATACTTTTTTTTTTTTGTTAAATATGTATGTCAGGTATGCATATATTGTACATACTCAAATATACATTTACATATACAAAATAATGTACTTGTATAATTTTATTTATTTACTTAAAATGTACATATTTGAGAATAGTTAAACATTCGTGATGCGCAACTTATAATGTAAATTTTATTTTTCCAAGTAAAATATTTAAATTCGAAACTTAAGTGACAAAAACACTTAACTTTTTTATTTCTGTTTTTTATTTGTTTTATTGTATTATTTTTTTTTTTTTTGATATTTCAAAAGTTATGCAGATGAAAAAAAAATATAAGGGGAAATAAAAATACAAATAATTAAAATTAAAAAAAAAAATACTAAGCACACACCATATAAGATGTTTGCAGAAGGAATTGGTGAAAAATAAAGGAGTGATGAAATTGTCATTTACTTCATCTATATAGCTTTTCTATACAACATACATAATATTCAAAATTATGTTTGCATGTTTGTACAAAGCATTTCTTCTTCATTGCCTATAAAAAACATATAAAATTTTTTATAATTTTAAAACTTATAATTATAAACAAAATAAAAATTATAATTATAAAGCATTGATTGGAGCTTCTTTAAAGTTCATTTCTCTACCTTTGTCATAAAACGGATTATTCCGGCAAGATCCTAATTGATTCATTTATTCAGGCATTCTTTTATAAACCCAAATTGAATTTTTTCAGGGACAGCTTATTCAGGGCATCCTTTTGATGAAACGTTTGAAAATTGTGTAAGGTAGAGTTGAAAAAATTTTGATAATTCTTGCAGGATTCTTAATTATATTTTAAAAATTGTAGAGTAATTAAAGCTCCCAAAAAAGGATTAAAACCAAACGTTTAAAGCAGGGAATAAATTAATATAATTGAATACCGTGTGCACTCTTATTTCAAATGTATATTTTGTATGTCTCTATTTTGCCGCTTATTCAAAATAAAGATATACTTATATTGAATGTTTTAGAAATATTTCATTAATGTTCCACTACTTTTCTGTACAAATAATAGGCAATTTAATTCATCAATTAACAGTTTTTTTTAAATTTAATTTAAAATATATTTTTGCACTGAATACCACATGACGTTTCTGTTTATACGCGTACGAACGTATGTTCGAAGGGTATACGAAATTTGCCTTACCATTTAGAACGCTAAGAAATAATGATCTGAGGTATAGACTCAAGTGTATGTTTTTGATCAACGTCGAATTCTGAGTCGATTAAACCACGTCCGTCCGCCCGTCCGTCCCAACAATAACTCAAAAACTGATTGAACTAAGTTAACCAAATTTTCACATACTATTAAGTAAATTCCGGAACCCTATTTAAAATGGATGTAATCAGGGTAATGTTTCGAATAGCTATCCTACAACTTCGAAAGTTATTTAGCTATATGTTATCGAAGCTATAATATCGAAATTTCGAACGAGAAAAAATATTATGTAGCCTCATTACGAGTATGTGTAATAAAAATCGTTTAAATTTTTTGACTCCTTGTGGTAGCTGCCACACAACTTCAAAAGTTACTTGGTGATAACATAAAAATTGTTGAATCTATGGTACTGAAATTTTGCAAAAACGAATATGGTAAAATAGCCATTATAAAAACTGTTATTAATTATAGAACTTACAGTATTGAAATTTCAAAGGCAAATATTTTATTATGGCTCTTATATTTACTAAAGCTAGTTTTAATTCCTTGACTTGTGGTCATACAACTTCGAGGCATTTGGTCGCATATTATGGAAACTATTAAAATTACAGTGCTGAAATTTTGCATAAACGAATAATAAACCAGGATTATGTCTGGAACAGTGTAGCAATCTACACATATCACTTAAAATCATTCATTCGTACGGGTATCACAGAGCTGAAACGGTCAATTCTACCTATTCTTGCTTTTATTTTTTACTGAAATCTACATAAAATAAATTTTTCCCTAAAAATTTTTTTATTCTTGAGTTATTTGAATAAACTTCTATATAAAAGTAAAATAAAATTACAATAAAAGTATGTAAGTATGTTAAGAAATAAATCACTTTTAAGAGCATGAAACGTTAATATAAAACATGGGCATCCATCATAATAATATTATCATAAATTTTATTCTTTGATATTTTATATTAAAATTTTATATCATTCCTGCCAACATATACGTACACTCATAATTTATCTTTTACAACTAACAATATAAATGTTGGTAACGTAAGAATCATCTCAAGAAAAAAATAAAACAGACCGCGCAAAATAAATACAAAAAAAAATCGCAAAATATACACAGAAAAAAAAATTGTTACAAATTTTGTTCTTTTATTTTTTCCCCCCTTCTCAAAATCGCATTATACATTTTAGGTTTTTTTTTGTTTTTTCTTATACGATTAAATTAAAGCAACCATTATTGAAACAAAACTGGCAAAAAAAAAACTTGTATACGTACGTAATCTCAAGTATAAAAAATTTTTGTTCTCTTAAAAAGGAAGACAAACTGTGCGACCTGTAAAACAATGATATGTTTGTAATGTAGGTAATAAAGTAAAAATATAAAAAAAAATAACAATAAAAATAACAATAATGAATTATAAGGAGGAAAAAATTAAATTAACAATTCCAAGAAGTAGCTAATTTGGTAGCTGAAAATTTAAAAAACAAAAAATCAAAATAAAAATACAATTAACTTGAACATCAAAGTGAAATTTTACCGCATAACTTAACCATGCATGTATAAATTGCTTTTTGTTTTTGAATTGGGTAATGAGAATAAAATTTTGCAAACATTTTGCATAGTTTTTGGTATGCTGGTAAAATTGATCTTATAATATCAAATTTCAAATAAATTTAAGTCGGCAAGATAAACAACTCTTAACTAATGAATGTGTTTTGGTATTCAACTATCTCACAAAGATCTGTGCTGGAGTGTCTTCTTAAACAGTGTACAGAATTAAGATTTGATTTAAATAGCTCAAACTCTTGCTAATTTAAATAACTCAAACTCTTGATTCAGCTCCATTCTATTGATAACTCATTCATTCAATTGACATTTTCATTATTTCGGTAACACTAAGGGCAGAAAACTTCTGGAGACTCTTCTAATTAATGTAAATTTACGTTATTTTTGACAAAAGGAATTTTTACTTGCAAGCGTTTTATATTGAGTGTATTTCATACAAAATTTTTTTCAAACAAACATAAAAGTCTAATTTTAAAAATACAATCCAAACCTTTTCATAATTTCATCATTAATTTAAATGAAAAGGTTTAAGGTAAAATCTTAATTGAATCAAAAATTAAGATAAGGATCTCTTAGGTTAATTAATACCATTTTCATTAGTATATGATTTTAAGATGCCATACATTTCTCAACTTCGTTAAGAGAAGATAATTTGGTTGCTCCTGAGGGCCAAAATCGTATAATTATGAATAATAAATTTCTTGTTATTTAAATTTACTTTAATTTTTTCTTTTTAATTAAAAACTTGAAATTAACTTATTATTTTCTTTTTTATTCCAGATATATTCATTCAAAGGAGAAACCATTTAAATGTACAGAATGTGGAAAAGGTTTTTGTCAATCGCGTACACTAGCTGTACACAAAATTTTGCATATGGAAGAATCGCCACACAAATGTCCCGTATGTAGCCGTAGCTTTAATCAACGTTCTAATTTAAAAACTCATCTTTTAACTCATACTGACCATAAACCATATGAATGTTCTTCTTGTGGTAAAGTATTTCGACGAAATTGTGATCTTCGTCGCCATGCTCTTACTCATGCTGTCGGTGATGTTCCATCAGAATCTAATACGGAAAACAATCAACGAAACTCTAATGCAACAGAAAACGATGATGAACGTAATTTAAGTGCTGATGAAGATGATAGTGTTCTTGAAGTTGATTCACCGCGACAAAGTCCAATTCATCGTATAAGATCACCAACACCAAGCAATCGTAATTCACATTCAAATAATGACAGTCAATCTTCATATCATATTAATGATGACCCAGAACATGATGATTTCGATGAAAATGAAGATATCATTGATGAAGAAATTGACGATGATGAAGATATAATTGAACCAGATGAAGAAAGACCTTTAGAATTATCTAGATCGATTCAAGAACAGCAACCTGAAGTAACACATTGCCATCATGAAGGCAGTGAAACGTATACAATGCGTCCACAACATGAAAAAGAATACAGTAAAGATTTGTCTTTACCAAAATCAAACTCTCAACAACCACAACAGCAGCAGCAAACGGCGCATCAATTATTACCCTCAACACATCCACCACCATTAAACCAATCTACCACTATACATTCACATAACTTCCCTGTGCCATTAAATCAAATTAGATCACATCCATTATCGACGGCGATCCAATCTCAATCTAATCCGCAACAAAATACATCGCAAAATTTGACAACTAGCATTAATCGTACTCCAGGAGCCCTAAAACCTCCTGAACCATATATTCCCATGCTGCACGTCCGACGTGATTTACATCATAAAAGTCCATCAGTTCCTCAACCGATTCGAAATCAATCACCATCTTTAAATATTTCTTCAACTTCAAATGTAGTTAATAATGATATGCCACAATCGCAAATTCACTCAAAATTACAACCACCACCGTCGTCAGTATTATCACAACAACCTTCAGTACAAACTTCAATAACTAACAATAATAGCTGCCCTATGATCGATCAAATACCCAGTTTCTTAGGTTCGATACCAATTCGAAAAAGACCCATTGGTTTAGATGGAGAACCCCACCCGATAATACGAAATACACATCATATGACCTTAAATATGTCTAGGATTCATCACCATACTCAATCAAATGTACCGCCAGTTGTCCATCCACACTTACACCATCCACATGCACTTTTGAAACCGCCTGATGAACTTCTCTTACCACCGATACCTGGATCATTACATCATCAACATCAACAACAACAATCAAATCCATCACCTGGCACCAATTCTTTGGTCAATCGTGAACCGTTAGCACTTCATCAAAATCCTACAATTCCAGTTCCATCACAAACTTCTCTAACAACATCACCACATAGTTCTTTAACGGTTCCAAGTGTAATTAAACTACCTTTATCTCCTGAAGAGTTAGTACAAACAAATATGACAACAACAGTTTGTAGCATATCACCACCAACAGAAACCAATTCAAACATTCGGCACCATCATCAACCACAACAACAACAACAGCAGCAGCAACATCAATCCAAACAACTGCAACAGCAGCCACCATTACATCCACCACAACAGCCCCGTAGAACTGGTTTTAGTATAGAAGATATAATGCGTCGTTAACAATCAAATAATAATAATAATAATGAATAATAATTTATACTTGTAGAATATTGAAAAATAGGGACCACTTATAAATTATGTAGGAGTTTTTATTTTCATAACATGTTGTGAATTTTTTGAATTTAATATAACACTTTTATCTTTTCCTCAAATCAATTATTGTTAATATACTTTATACTAGTTTTAATTTAATTTAAATAATTTTAATTAAAATATTTTTAAAAATTATTTTGGCTTTCCAAAAGTGCCTTAAAAAAAAATGTTTGCCTTATCTTTATTTCTTTAAAATAACATTTTTTAATTGTATAACAAAAATAAAAGGAAAGTATCGTTACTAAAATATTTTTAGATTTAGAAAATAAGATAATTTTGTAAAAGAACATTACAAACTTAAATGGCTGAAAATTAAATGTGCTTTACTTAGTTTTAAAAAAAAAATTATTATACCAGCGGTTGTTTAATTATTAAAATATTTAATATAATGTAATAATCTATATTTTTTATTTTTGTGCCTGAGTTAGACTAGGAAAGGAATAATTTACGTACTTTAAAAATTTATTTTTTAATTAAAATATTATTACAAGGGAAATGCCATTATTTTCTCATAAATATTTTAGTTGTTTACCAACCAAAACGCAATAATTTCCAAAATAAATTTACATAATTTCCAGAGTGGTGCACAAAATGTTTCATGAAAATCCAAGGTTTTCATTACTAAAGTTATTATTAAAATTTCTATACATATTTTTCAATTTCAATTATTGTATACAGCAATGGCAGCACCATTTTTCAGAATTTCGAAATCAGTATTTTATTTCAACTGTCAAATGTTTATTTGTTGGAGGAACTCAAACTCATACAAAAATAAAACTTGAACTTGTTACGTGCTATTCTTTCTTTCGTAAACTTTTGAGGATTATTTTTATTGCGAACTTAATACGAGTATATATGATTATTCTATTACGAATATTCGAAGCGGAATTTTAGTAATTCGGAATTGAATATATGAAATTCATAATTCTATAATGAACGAAATTCATGATAGAACTGATGGTTTATATTTTCATAAACTATATTTAATATTTCAATGAATATACACTGACTTTAAAATCTGAATTATCTAACAAAATCAATTTCGCATTGGCCGATTAAAAATTCTTCAATTTATAAGAAATTTTTATATTATGCCAAGAAATATTTTTTGAAATCCACTGGTATAGTTTAAATATCTTATTGTTATATTTTACTACCTATATTATTTCTTTTAATTTAGATTTTAAGCAATATTTTAGAAGATTAATATTTTCTTTAATAATTTTAATGTTGTGATGAAGTATTATAATCATTATTTTGCTACATATATCAAAAATTATATAATAATCTATAATTCTTATAATTAGTATTTGTCATTATAACAAGTACTTGAATGTAAATATAATTTCTGCAATATCTTCTTTATATTTTTTGTAAAAAAAAAGCCAAGCCAACTATTACAAACATATAAAATAATTAAATTCAAATTTAAAATGACTACAAATATTCTTAATTAATGGTATTAATATAATTATTTAAATTTAGTATTAAATTTCAAAAATTAAATATATATTTTTCAAATATGCAGATTACAAAAACTATATTCGTTTAAGAGCTTCCTATATTCCCCTGAACTATTCAACTATATTCTCTTGAGGTAGATTAACAAAACCAAGTAAATTTTAGTTTAGGTTATTAAAATAGAAAATTAAATATTTCTCATGTACAATTTTTAATTAATTTTTGTTTTTTTTAGAATTAGAAACACTAAGTGTTTCGTGTATTCTTAACTGCATACACAGAATATGTATGTATGTGTTGCATGTGTTATTTTTTAAATTATAATTATATTAAAAGTAAAATTAAAAATTAAAAATATTTACGTATAATAGATAAGTTTTATACAAATAATTTTAATATATTAGCATTATTGTTTTTAAGATTTAATTTTAAAATAAACACAAGATTAATTTTATAAAAATTACTTAAATTTACTTTTTTTATAAATCTGTTAAAATTAAGTAATTTTGTGCTTTACACTAATCTAAAAATTATTTTTGGGGAAATATGAAAAAAGTATAAAAATTATAAATAATTTTTGGCATAATAGCTATAATTATGATAATTATTATTAATTAAATAAATTAAGTATAATATTTTTTTATATTACGATAATTTAGGATAACGTTTAAAATAGAAAATGAATTGTCGTTTTAAGAAAACTTTTAAGAAACTATTATTATTAAAGGAAATTATTAAAAAAAACAAAACAAAAGAAAAATGGAAAATGATTTAAATAAATTTAATATGAAAAAGAAATTGTACTTTCTATTCTTGAATCGATTAATGATCAGGTGTTGGCGTATTGCAATCAAATTTTCCGAAAAAAAAAAACAAATACACATAAATAAAAATTTGAAAATAGTATGAGTTTGAGATTAAGATATTTTTAGAGAATTATCTAATTAAGAACAACATCTTCTAAACCAATTTTTAATCTGAAATATTTTTATGCATTAATTTAATAAAGTTATGAATCACTTCAACGAGATGAGAAACCTTAAAATGTTAAAAATTAATCCTTTCAAGAAAAAAAGCAAATCTTATTACAGAAGAAATTTAAATTATTTTACTAAATTTGAAAATTTAATTGAAACTAAATATGAAATTGCAATATAAAACATTTATTTTGAAAAATTGCACCATTTAGTTTGAAAGGGATCCAAATTCATTTTCATATTGCAAATCCTTTCATGCAGTAATCTTGAAAAATGTCAATAGCTTATAGATACCACGTTTCATTACCAATTGTCATTACCAAAACTTGCCATTACTATTGCTGGCAAAATAAATGAGTTGAGAAATTCAAAATATATTTAGATTATTTTCAAAATATCCAATCCGATTTTCAAAACGATCCAATTAGAATTTGTTTACTTTCCTATCCTTTACGATCCTTTTAGAATTTAAAATTAATCTTATTGGAAAAATAAAAAATTCATTAGAAAAACGTGGAATTATGATTCGAAATCGAATAAAAAGTGACAAGAATAAGTGAGATACAGGATTAGGCTGTAATAATTAAACTTATTTATTAAATTAATTGAATAAAATTACAGGTACCAATTAAGGGTTACACTCCTATCAGGGAATACACTTGTTTCGTTTTTGATATTATCATATAAAATCTTTCCTCATTTTCTTTACAGTTTTTTTTTCTTTTTTTGAAAAATCACCTACACAAGAAATTAAAGCAGGATGTATTAGGTTTAACAAAAAATTTATAAGGTGTAGTATATTTCAATAAACCAAATCTAATGCTTACATACGCATACATTCATAGATATAATATACATAGAATATTAATCCCATAGAAAACAAAATCAAGAAAAGAACATAATCAGATTTTGAAAAGGCTTATAAGTTTTTCGATAACAAATTCCAAGATCTTAAAACAAAAGACAAATAGAAACAATACATAAAATAATCGGATAAGAATTTTTTCCAAGGAATCGAAAATTTATTTAAAATTTTATTTAAAAGGGCAAAAAACAGTTCTCAAAGCATGCATTTCTACTGAAGTGTCAAGATATTCGGAGTTAAAACTAATTAAATTTTAACGAACCGTGACTCTTTTTTGGTAATTATTATTAATTTTGTAGAAATAGTTTAAATGATTATCAAGAAATCTGTAATACTATTAACGAAGTCAAACATTGTTCTCATTTATTAATTTAAATAATGCAATAAAGTTAATTTTTACTAATCATTTGGATAGTTCTTGATATTTTTCCTGTTAATCATAAAATTGTGGGCTCTAAAACTTTTCAATCTTTTTCGTCTCTGTGTAGTAAAGCAGTAAGTGCAAAAAGAAACATAATTTGCTTTAAAATGTCAGCCTAAGAATATAGCAATGATTTAATAACACCTGAATTTAATTCAAATATTAAAATATGAATGCAATTTCCCATGATTCCCTAATGATTTTCCAGGCTTCTTGCTAAATATATGTCCTAAGTTTAATTGTAATTATGAACTCAAACTTTAACCTGCTTGCAAAACGCTAATTAAAAAACTTTTTTTTGTATGGATTCCTTTACAGCCCACACCTTCATTAAAACATATTTATAGCCGATCCATTAATTTTATCTTTTTATATTAAATGTCTCTGTACACACTGATTAATTCATTTTTTTTTTACTTCTTGTTTCTTATTAAAATGATGTATAATATGCAACCTATAATCTATAGCTTTATCCAATATGATTCATTACACTTCACATCTCATGAATTTACATTTATTTTTATTTCTTGTAATTTATGGCTTCGCTTTTGATTATGTGCTACTTTTTTCAGGATTTTTCCCATCGTATAACAAAAAAAAACAAAAAGTAAGTACATAATATTACTGTTTTTTAAATAACTTGAGAAAACTGAAAAACTTGGAAACTCTAAATAACAAAATTTTCAGTTGTTCATATCAACTTTTAGGTTAAATAATTGGGAATTTTTATTTTATATATATGGTCGGATCTTTTGACATATTCTTGGAGCAGGATTCAGTGTTGTATTATATGACTTTTACGAAAATAATGAGAAATTCATTTTGCAAAACAGCAAAAAAATGAAACCATTTTTAAATAGTTTATGAAATGTCAGCTTGAATAATCGAGAAATTTTGAAAATTCGGAAAATATCTCAATAATTTAAAGTTTAAGTTTCATCAATGCATAATTTCTCTCAGACATCAAACCCATTTTGTGATGAAAATCTATTCTACATCAAAATTTAATAATTATATGTATTGTCTTATGTCTATACTATTGACTGACTCAATTGAAGCATTACGCAGCAACAGCTTATGACTTTATTTTTAAAACTCCATCTTATATAAGGATTGTAGTTAATAATAAAAAGAAAAACGAAAAATCTGTTATTGGAAAAAAATTGATATTACAGTTGCATTAAGAAAATTGCAATACCTCTGAAATATTTTGCATGACCAAAATGAACAAGAAATTTTCTTTGTTTCAACTTTAGAGTGGAATGAAAACTGGTCAATATTTTCTTGTTCAATTTTCTGTGCACTTTCCATTCTTCTTATTTTTTTCCTCTTTAATTTTTTTCTTCTATTCTCTTTCTCTTGTAAATATTTACGTTGAAAGGAGCCGAATTAAAACTGACAATTTTAATAAATTTTATTTAGTTAAAAATGTTGAACTTTCTTTTAATGCAATGTTAATTTTTTTATGTTTTTCTTCTTATTCTCGTTTAATTCTTGCGAATCTTATTAAAATGAGGTTTATTTTCTTTAATATTGTATTTTTGTATTGTTTTATTTTACAAGTAGTTATAACAGTGGCGGAATATGCTATACGACCCACAGAAAATTTTATAA